GAAATAAATGTGTTGCAGAACTTTAATAACATAGAGGTCACTCAAGATATACTACTTGTTGAAAATCCAGTGGACTTATTGAATAATGAAGCATTTCAAGGCTTAAGACATGATGGTATTGATGTAGGTTCATCACAAACAGGGAGAGAAGAAGAAATGTTAAATGATATGCCTGCTTCAAATAGTAAAGACTTTTTTGAGTTGCTTAGAGATGGAAGTCAAGAATTGTATTGTAACGACCCGACTGGTCGTTTTGAGTCTTTGCACTTTGCTCGCCAGTTCTGGGGCATGACTTGCTCCGTGTGATGCATTATGACTTATGTAAATTGTTGGTTGTGGTTTTCAGGGTAATTGGAACGAATTTGGAAGAACAATTCTCACTTTGAAGCTTGAAATTGAAAGGTTGACCAAGTTTTGACTTATTGGTAAACGACCTCAGAATGCGGATTCTATGGCTCGGATAGCTTCGTTAGGTGATTTGGGACTTAGGAGTGTGTCCGGAATATTTTTGTGATGTCCGGTGTAGAATTAGGCTTGAATTGGCGAAAGTTAATTTTTGGCGTTTTCCGGTTGATAGGTGAGATTTTGATATAGGGGTTGGAATGGAGTTCCGAGAGTGGCATAGCTTCGTTTTGTCATTTGGGATGTGTGTGCAAAATTTAAGGTCATTCGAATGTTGTTTAGTTGGGTTTTTGATCGAAAGCGTATTTCGGAAGATTTTTAGAAACTTAGGCTTGAATCTGATGTGTTTTGGGTAATTTGATGTTGTTTGAGGTGTTTTGATGATTGGAGCAAGTTTGAATAAGGTTTTAAGATGTGTTGGTGCCTTTGGTTGAGGTCCCGGGGGCCTCGGGTGAGTTTCGGATGGTCATTCGGAGCATTTTTAGAGTTTGAAAGTTGCAGAAATTTAAGGTTCAGTGTTGCAGAGATTTATCTCTTCGCGTTCGCGAGAGGAGACTCGCGTTCGCGAAGAAGGAATTGAGGAAGGCCAGGATTTAGCCTTCGCGTTCGCGAGATGGGCTTCGCGTTCACGGAAGGCTGGGATGCAGTGCATCGCGTTCGCGAGAGGGTACCCGCGATCGCGTAGAGTAATTTGGGATCGAGGTTCTTTTGTTCATTGCGTTCGCGTAAACTGTGTCGCATTCGCGTAGAGTAAAATCTGGTCAACGCGAGTTTGTGCTTCGCGAACGCGAGGCGTTGACCGCGTTCGTGAAGAAGGAAGGTCAGGCCTGGGCAGAATGTTTTTAAGTCGTCTTGTCCGCGATTTTGGGTCTATTTTCACCCATAGTTGGGATTTGAAGGGTCATTTGTGGACGGATTTTGATGTTTTTGGTATGTATGAACTCGTGGGGAGATAAGGAACCTATTGGTGTAAAAATTCTGAGATTTCAAGAAGTGGGCCCGGGGCTCGGGTTTTGCTAATTTCGGGATTTTTGGTATTTTTCGATTGTTTTCGCTTGGGCTTTGTTCCCTTAGCATATTGTGACGTATTCGTTCTGATTTTGGATAGATTCGACGCACGTGGAGGCCAATTCGAAGGGCAAAGGCGTCGCGAGCTAGGGATTTAGCCGGTTCGAGGTGAGTAATGCTTGTAAATGATGTTCTGAGGGTTTGAAACCCCGGATTGTGCATCGTAGTACTATATTGAGGTGAGGCACACGCTCAATGGCGAGCGTGGGGTCGTGTACTATTAGGGATTTGGACTTGGTCCGTCCCGATTGATGACTTCACCACATATTTGATTTAAAACTATTTGTTATCATCGTTTATTGGGCTGATTTCCATATTTGGGCTTCGTGGCAACTATTTGAACCCTTTCGGGGTTTTATTTGATATTTCCACACTGTTTTGACTTATTATTTGAACTCAGTCATATTAAATTCCACTGTTTTACTACTCAGCCGTTTTTACTCAGATTTTGAGATTTAAATGATATTTTAAATGATGTTTGGGCTGAGAAACACTGTTTTACTATTGCCCGAGGGGCTTGTGATGATTTTTGACTGAGTAAGGCTGAGGGCCTATATTGTGAGGAGATACTGATACTGACTGGAGGCCGAGAGCCTGAGATATGTACGCCACGAGGTGGCTTGATTGATATGAGGCCGAGGGTCTAGAGTTGATGCCACGAGATGGCTTGTTATTGAGCTTGGACCGTAAGGGGCCCTTCAGGAGTCTGCACACCCCCAGTGAGCGCGGGTACCCATTGTGATGTGAGTTTGAGCGCGAGGGGCTGTTACTATTGTGAGTTGTTGTCCGAGGGGCGGATGTGGTGTTACTATGCCCGAGGGGAAAATCTCTATTTGTTTACGTTATCATAATTACCTGTCAATCACCTGTTTTATTGGTTTAAAGAGCAATTTCCTTGAGTTGTACTGCTTTTACTGAAATTAACTGATTTTACTGCTTCATTATGGACTGCCATATGCTTTACGTGTTTTCTTGCTTTCAGTCATTATTTATATTCATTACTCACTGAGTTGGAGTACTCACTTTACTCCCTGCATCCTGTGTGCAGATTCAGGCGTAGCTGGTTCCGCTCCGGAGTGTTGATTTCCTCCAGTTCCAGGCGCTCTTTTTCGGAGATTATGAGGTAGCTGTTGGCGTCCGCAGCCCCGTGTCTCTACTCTTCTATCATTTCTGTTTCCTACAAACACTTGTAGTGGTTTATGACTTTAGTAGACTATACTGTGATTCGTAGATTCTCTTGACTTGTGACACCCCGGTTAGGGCTGTGTTAGGTTGGAATTCCGCATTATTCTTGATATTTCCGCTACTTAGAATTATTAAATCATGTTTAGACTATTTATTGTTGTTTAACTGCTTTAAAAGACGAATTGGATTAAACTGGCTGACCTTGTCTTCAAGAGAGGTGCCATCACGACCGGGTTCGGGGTTAGGGTCGTGACATGTATAAAGGTTCCAAGTACTCAAAGCTAGAGTTTTTGTTAAAGCTGTATCATATAAAGAGTTTGTCTGGGCTAAGTGACAAGGGAATGACTATGATACTAGATCTATTGAGAGATGCATTTAAATTTGCAAGTATCCTTGATTCTTTTTATGAGGCCAAGAAAACCATCAAAAAACTTTGTCTTGATTATATAAAGATAGATGCTTGTCCAAATGACTGCATGTTGTACTGGGGAGATGATGCTAATGAAGAAACATGCAAGTATTGTCACATTTCTAGATGGAAGCCTAATGAGAGGGGCAACAAAAATCGCGTGCCTGCTACAAGTAAGAAGAAGAAAAAAAAGCCTGCAAAAATTTTACGTTACTTTCCACTAAAACCAAGGTTGCAAAGACTATTCATGTGTTCTAAGACTGCAGAGCATATGAGATGGCATGTGGAGCATAGTAACAATGATGGAATAATGAGGCATCCTAGAGATGGTGAGGCATGGAAGAGGTTTGATACAATATTTCCTGAATTTGCTTCTGATCCCCGAAATGTTCGATTAGGCCTAGCTAGTGATGGTTTCAATCCTTTTGGAACGATGAGTACAAATTATAGCATTTGGCCAGTGGTTTTGGTTCCATATAATCTTCCACCTTGGTTGTGCATGAAGCAACCAAATTATCCTCTCAATGATCATTCCGGGTCCACGTACGGCGGGTAATAATATAGATGTAAACTTACAACCCCTTATTAAGGAGTTGAATGAGTTGTGGTGTAAAGGTGTGGAAACTTGTGATTCGTCGAAGAATGAAATATTTAGAATGCGAGCAGCTCTTATGTGGACAGTCAGTGATTTTTCTGGTCTTGATATCTTATCTGGTTGGAACACACATACTGGTTTGGCATGCCCCTCTTGTAATTTTGACTCAGAACCTTGTCGGCTTCCTCATAGTAGAAAATGGTGCTTTATTGGTCATCGTCGATTTTTGGCAAAAAATCACAAATTTAGATTGATGAGGCATCGTTTTTTTGGAGATGTGGAGGAGAGGAATCCGCCGAGGAAGTTATCGGGGTCAGACATTTTGCAACAAGTGAAAGAAATCGATGTTACATTTGGAAGGCCAGTAGAGTTGAATGCTAGAAAGAAAAAAAATAGACAAAGAAAAGATGGGGAAGGTGCAACTCAGCAGTGGAGAAAAAAAAGCATATTCTTCAATCTTCCATATTGGGAATTCAACTCGTTGCGCCATAATTTGGACGTCATGCACATCGAAAAAAATGTGTTTGACAATATTATATACACTTTGGTAATGGATAAAGACAAATCAAAGGATCATGTGAAAGAAATCCCATAATGTTCTGTAGAATTGGTTCTACACTTCTCATTGAGGATTCCATTCCATGAGCTGTCAACTACTGTCCTCATTTGTCATATCTATCAATCGTGTTTTAATCTAAAGGTTGGCTAAAATGCACTATTTTCTCTGCTTCATTTCATCTGAAACAGATTAGTCGCCGTTGGATAGATTCACATAGTTCGATCTTTTAATTTGGTGTTTAGTTTTAAAGATTCGCAAGGAGCTACCAAGAAACTCAAAGTAAAGGTTAAGGATGTGATGTATTTATCCGACAGAAAATGTATTGTGGTTGAATTTGATGATATGGATCAGCCAATTGGAGAAGGGCAAGGTGTTCTTGCAGGCTTTTGTGGAATTTTAGCAACCGACTGCTCCTTATTTCCAATTCACTTCAACAAATGATCAGATTTACCTAAGTCATACTTCAATGGTTGCTTTGATCGAATTATAAAGGTATAAGCTCTATTTTCTTATTGTTGTAACTTTGTTTTATGTCGTTAGACTGTATATTTTCATGTAATTGATTAGCTAACAGAAGTTTTATTCCTGTAGCCACGATTCTGTTTTAACACAACTGAGTTAAATGCACGAGCATATGTTTATAGTTCTATAAAGAAGTGGAGTTCAGGAAGGCAAATGTTGTGGTATGAGTTCAATGACCCACTTAAGACCAAAGCAGAGATTATGGATAATGTTCTATCAGGGATTCCACGGGATCAATGGACTTCTTATGTTGCTTACCGTTTTAATGAAAAGACAATGGTATTTATTTGAATGCTTCAATTAGTATGTGTAATTATATACTTTTTTATTTGTATATTTGAGTTATGTGTATTTTTATAAGGAAATGAGTAAAAGAAATGCTGAAATTCGGAAGAAACAAACTGTTGCACACACTGGTGATTCCAAACCAAACTCCAGAAGAAGAGCTGAAATGGTGATAAATGTTAATTCAATATGTTTTACTTTAATTAAACTTGCAAACTGTTCCTATTTAGTCAAGTTATTCTGACTTGATTTTTCATTTATAGATGGCTGAATCTGGACAAAACCCTGGACGAGCGCAACTCTATCTTGCTACTCATAAGAAGGAAGATGGGTCATATGTTTCGTGTTCGCAAATGCGAACAAAGATCTCGCATTTCCCATACCTGCAGGGTTCACAATTGCGAACCCATTTTCGCATTTCCCATATCCGCAGCCCAGCATATTTTATACTTAACCGATTTTGAACTTCATTTTTCACATTTTCTCAAACTCAAACACCCATAGGCGATTTTCCAAGAAATCTTTCTTCTCCAAATCAATTGTAAGTTAATTTCTACTTATTTCTTTCAATCATTAACATCATTTAACATGTTTTCCACTTAAAATCAATGATTTTCATGGGTGAAATTGGGGGTTTTGGGTAAAACCTAGGTTTTCTAAAAATTGGGGATTTGGACCTCAATTTGAGGTCCGATTTCAAAACAAATTACATATTTGAGTTCGTGGGGGAATGGGTAACTGGGTTTTGGCTCGAACCTCGGGTTTTGACCACGTGGGCCCGGGGACAATTTTGGAAATTTTGGGAAACTCATTTTTATGCATTCAAATTGATTCATTTAATGTTTATTAAAGCAATTAAGTAATTTGTGGCTAGATTCGAGCGGATTGGAGGTGGAATCACGGGGTAAAGCCATAGTTGAGGCTTGAGTTGAGTTCAAGGCATCGAGGTAAGTGTTTGGTCTAACCCTAGCTTGAGGAAATAGGAGTTGAGTCTTATTTGCTACTTGTTGATTGTTGAGTACGATGTATAGGCATGGTGACGAGTATCTATACATTGGTGTCTAGCATGACCGTGAGTCCTTATTTTGCGAATAGTTTGGATTTTGTTATACCTTCCATGCTTAATTGTTGACTTCTAAATGTTGTAAAAAGCTTGTGAAAGGAATTGTGATCTTTAAACTTCGTGGAGCGTTGGCTCGAGTTGAATTACAAATTGAGAAGGCATATGAGATAAGTTGTCACGACCCAAACCCCGCTCCGGTCGTGATGGCGCCTCTCGTGAAGAGAAGGCCAGCCAGACCATTTCAGAACACCACTTTTAAGCAGTTAAACAGTTCAATAACAGTTCGAATATGATTTAATGATATTAATTAACGTAATTACAACCCAACACAGCCCTAATCGGGGTGTCACAAGTCACGAGCATCTATAAGAATGTAATTCCACTTTACAAGTCTAGAAATACTCTAAATAGGAATAGTGAATAACATAGGAAAACAGTGGTGCTGCGAACGCTGGCAGTCACCTCGCTAAAACCTCTACAACTCTGCCTCCACGCAGCCAATACCCGCTACCGGGTGAATAAATACCTGCAACTGCACGCGAGGTGCAGGGAGTAAAGTGAGTACTCCAACTCAGTGAGTAATAAAAATAAATAATAACTGAGAAGTAAGAAATCACGTAAAGCGAACCATCATGCTGTATAGAAGCAGGGTACAATTCTTTGAGAAAACAGTAAGGCTGTGAAATCTTTAGAAATATCTTGGCTCAGTTTAAAGCTCTTTTGAAAATGATCTTTACAACAGATACGAAAACGATTTCAAAACGGTTAGTGCTGATAAGCACAAGAAAATCCGCCCCTCGGGCACAAATACCATAGTATAACAGGTAAAAAGGCAAATAAATATGCAAGATGCGCACATAAAAGTTCGGCCCTCGGGCAATATCTCAACACAGTACCAGCCCCTCGGGCTCACTCTCAGAAACACTCTCAGCCCCTCGGGCTCTCTCTCTCAGATCACTCTCAGAACAGTATCATGTAGTAACCGCTGCGGCGTGCAGCCCGATCCACATATCGTTGCGGCGTGCAGCCCGATCCATAGCTCGCTGCGGTGTGCAGCCCGATCCATATCTCGCTGCGGCGTGCAGCCCGATCCATATGGGTACCCGCGCTCACTGTGGGGGTGCAGACTCCGGAGGGGCTCCTACAGCCCAAGCGCTATATCACTGCGGCGTACAGTCCGATCCAATATTGTGACGACCCAAAGGGTCATCACCTATTTTCTCACTCATTCTGTGTCTCCGAGGCCTTGAAAACCTTATTTAGGCTTGCCTCGATTTGCGTGCGCAGTCCGGGCGCATAGTCGGAAAGCTTAAATATAAATTCTGTGTAAAAATTGATGAATTTTGATATTATTATGAATAAAGTTGACTTTGGTCAACATTTTGGGTAAACGGATCCGGACCCGTGATTGGACGGTCCCGGAGGGTCCATAGAAAAATATGAGACTCGGGCATATGCTCGAAGTCGAATTCCGAGGTCGAGAGCCCGAGAAATGAATTTTTCTGTGAAATTGTTTTTCAGAAATTAATATGGAAATTTTAAAAGGAAATTGATTAGAACGTGTTGGTATCGGGCCCGTATTTTGGTTCCGGCGCCCGGTACATGTCTTATATGTGGTTTAAGTACTTTCTGTGAAATTTGGTTGAAATCGGACGTCATTTGACGTGTTTCGGACCTAAATATCTAAAAATGAAAGTTTATGAAGTTTGATGAAAAAGTGATGATTTTGAGGTTTAATTCATTGATTTTGATGCTATTTTGGCGATTTGATCGCACGGTTAAGTTCATAGGATGATGTTGAGTTAGCGTGTGTGTTTGGTTGGGATCCCCGAGGGCTCGGGAGTGTTTTCGGAGGTGGTTCAGGGTGTTTTGAACTTAGGAAAGTTGCAGAAATGTTCAGTTCTGATATCTGGTATGTTGTTCTATGGGATCGCATAGGATCTTCTGCGATCGCATAGAGTAGATCTTGAATTGCCCAGTTTTGTTCTATGCGATCGCATAGTAGACTCCGCGATCGCGTACCTCAGCCAATTCCTTCTATGCGATCGCACCCTTCCTTCTGCGATCGCAATGTACAAAACCCAGCCTCCATCTTAACCTTCTATGCGATCGCATTCACCAGGCCGCGATCGCAGTGCCCAGCCAGCCTTACCCTATGCGATCGCAATCCCTCTTCCGTGATCGCATAGGGCATTTTTGCCCAGTTATTTTAAAAGCCTAAAAATAGAACAGTGACGGGATTAATCCAAATTTCACACGAGCTCTTCTTCTCCACAGCCCCTAGGCGACTTGTAGAGCGATTCTTCACCAAATATTCTTGGGTAAGTATTATCTAACTCGTTTTCTTCATTTTCTATCATCATCCATTGAAATCCTAGGCCTAAAACATGTAATCTAGGGTTGAAATTGGGGTAAATGGGTAGAGTTAGGGCTTTTCGATTTTCTTCGATTTAGACCTCGTTTTGGGGTCGAGTTTGAAAGCAAATTGTATATTCGGGCTCGTGGGGGAATGGGTGATATGGAATTGGTTCGAACCTCGGGTTTTGACCAAGCGGGCCCGGGGTCGATTTTTGGAATTTGGGAAAAAGGGTTAGAAAACTATATTTAGGCATTGGGTTTGATTTGTTTAGCTTATATTAATGTTGTAAAGTCATTATTTCATAGATTTGGTTGAGTTGGAGCCGAATTCGAGAGGGAAAGCGGTCGTTGTGGATTGATTTAGCCGTGGAAGTTGAGGTAAGTGTTTGGTCTAACTTTGGCTTGAGGGAATAGGAGTAGAGTCTTACTTGCTAATTGCTATTTGTCGAGTATGGTGTATAGGCATGGTGACGAGTATCTATACACTGGTGTCTAGCATGACCGTGTGTCCTTATATTGAGATTATCGTGAACTTGTTGTGATTCTCCCATGCTTATTTGATGATTTCTATATACTGTAAAGAGCATGAGACAGAGATTATGATTATTAGACTCCGTGGAGCATTGGCTTGAGTTGTGTTGTGAATTGTGAAGGTATATGATATGAAATGATTCTTTGGAGCTATGGCTCAAATGATAAAGTGAGTTATAAAGTAAGAAATGAAAGCAAAAGAAAGAGATATTGGTTATTCCCTTGCCGGGACGTTTTATTGATATGATGATTTTCTCCCTTGCCGGGATATTGAGTTATTGACTTTTCTCCCTTGTCGGGATTTAGTGTGTTATTGTGTTCCCTTGTCGGGATTTCTTTCACTAATTGTTTACTCCCTTGCCCCTTATTTTCGACTGTTACCTGGGTGAGGATTAATAATATAAATATATGGATCGGGTTGCGCGCCACAATAATGATAAATGATATATATATGGATCGGGTTGCACGCCGCAACAATACTAAATGATATGGATCGGGTTGCACGCCGCAACAGTGATGATTATAGATCGGGTTGCACACTGCAACAGTGATGATTGAGGATCGGGTTGCGCGCCGCAACAAGTTATAGCTCAATTGTGTTTATTCCGGATTTAAGTTTCTGTTGGCTGTTATAACCTTAGAATTTAGACTCCTTGTTTATAACTGTTGCCTCCCCACAGTATGCTCCCCCTCCCTTATAAACTGCTTATTTCCTGTTTATTTTTGTGCAATATATTTCGTAACTGTACAGGTTTATCTGGTAGTCTAGTCTAGCCTCGTCACTACTTCGCCGAGGTTATCTAGGCACTTACCAGCACATGGGGTCGGTTGTGCTGATGCTACACTCTGTGCATCTTTTTGCACAGACCACAGCGCCGGAGCAGCAGCTTTTGGACAGCAGTAGAGGATTCGGGAGCTGACTTCAGTCCAGGGACATTCGAGGTAGCCTTGCTGACGTCCGCAGGCCCGGAGTCCCTTTCGTATTTTATTCAGTTTGTTATCATTTTGACCCGAAGTCAGTACAGTTTTT